AACCACCAAAAGTGGAAAGGAAAAGATGAGAAGCCAAAGGTAAAGGGTTCCGAAACTGAATGTTATCGTTGCGATGGAAAAAAGGCATTGGACAAATATTTAACGTACACCAAGATAAGCTTTATCAAGCATCTCTAAAGAAAAAAAAACTGAAGCTAATTTTGTCTCTGACAATGAATTTGACATCACCCACTTGGATGTGACAGACTTCTTTGAGCACTCTAATGGAAAAATAGACTACTTGATCGGTGATGGATCTGTGGTTAAAGACAATTGAATAGTTTGATTTTTATTTTTGTCTATTCATAGTAGCTAGTGAATAAACATTATGTAACCATAGTTCTTTACATGAGTAGTAGTCATTAGTATCAATTATTATTATTTGTTTTATGGAACAGTGTTAGTTCGTTTTGATTAAATATAGTTCTAGTTTTCGTTTTAAACAGTGTTTCAGGAAGAGTATATTATTTATGTATATTAAATGCAAGATTGAGACCAATGTATATCGAACATGTAAGCAGAACTGTACGTAGCTCCACCTCTAAGATCGTGGAGATTATAAAGGATTTATGTGGTTAGTGACAATCATGTTGATGTGTAAAATTAAGTTAGTAGCTTTCTGTTAAGCAATAAAAGGAAATATCTACTTGTCCTTATTTGTACTTACGAGTAGCGTCAGAAACTATGCGCATTGATTTTTCACTTTTACTATTATTATAATTTCGAAATTCGTAGGGTACAAAAACATGCATTGTTACAATTGTTTCCTCAAAGCACTGTTCATAAATCCAATTCCCTCTGTTTTTTTTACTGTCTATTAAGGAATATGTAAAGTATAATTACATTATTTTTAGCTACATAATTGTTCGTATTATAATGAGAGTTTACTCGAAATTGCATTATAAGTTATTATTGAGTTATTGATTTAACTATTTATTTTCTCTTTTCTCTGAAAATACTGATGTTTATTCGTATATTTCTTTTGTATGTCAAACCATGAGAAGCAAATATGGATACCTCACAAAGCAAACTTGGATCAAAGTTTAATTGTAAAAATATTTGTTTAATTGATTCATGTAAGACACATACTCTCATTTAAGTATGTGTAAGGCGGATGTTACTGCAATTTCTGGTAATAGTGATTTAATTGAAGGCTCTGGAAGAGCTACTATAACTCTGCCTAAGGGAACAATGCTTATCATAGATAATGCAATGTTCTCTTCCAAGTCCAATAGGAACTTGTTGAGCTTTAAAGATATCCGTCAAAATGGATATCATATTGAGACAATAGATAAAAAAAACCTTGAATATCTCATCGTTACCAAGAATGTCTCTGGCATAAAAGGGTTATTGAGAAATTCCCATCTTTGTCTTGTGACATGTATTGGACAAGAATTTAAAGATTCTTTTAAATAATGAATTTTCTTGCACTTCTTGTTACCCAAGCAAGTTAATTATTAGACAATCACCAACAAAGGCTGGTATTGAGTCCCCTACATTTAAAGATTCTTTTAAATAATGAGTTTTCCTGCACTTCTTCTTATCAAGGCAAGTTAGTTATTAGACCATCACCAACAAAGGTTGGGATTGAGTCCCCTGTATTTTTGGAACGTATACAAGAGGACATTTGTGGACTTATTCACCCACCTAGTGGGCCGTTTATATATTTATGATCTTAATAGATGCATCTTCTAGATGGTCTCATGTGTGCCTATTATCATCTCGCAACCCGGCGTTTGCAAAATTAATTACACAAATAATTCGATTACGGGCACAGTTTCCCGATAATCAATTAAGTCTATTCAACTTGATAATGTTGTTGAGTTTTCATCCCAAACATTTAATGATTATTGCTTATAAATTGGAATAAAAGTGGAACATCTTGTAGCTCGTGTTCGCACTCAAAATGGCCTTGCACAGTCTTTGATTAAACTACTGCAATTGATAGCAAGGCCATAACTCATGAAAACGAGATTACCTACTTCTGTTTGGGTTCATGCCATTTTGCATGCAGCAATGCTAGTTCGTCTCGCTAACAAATTATCATAAATATTCTCCGTTGCAATTAGTTTTGGGTCATGAACCTAATTTATCCCATTTAAGAATTTTTGAATGCGCAGTATATGTGCCTGTAGCACCGCCATATCGCACTAAAATAGGTCCCCAAAGAAGGTTAGGAATATATGTTGGGTTTGAATAGCCCTCCATTATTTGCTATCTTGAAACATTAACGAGGGATTTATTCACTGCTCGATTTGCAGATTGTCGATTCAATGAGACATTTTTTCCAAAATTAGGGGGAGAAATTGGTGAAACCAAACGAAAAATTTTATGAAAAAATCCATCATTGTCTCATCTTGATCCACGTGCCTCTATTTGTAAAAAAGAGGTATAAAAGATTATCCATATGCAGAAAATAGCAAATCAAATGCTAGATGCATTTACGGACCTAAAAAGGATAACAAAATCACATATCCTTGCAGAGAATGTTCCAATCCGTATTGATGTCCATGTTGGACAATCTTCTTGTGTCATAGCTAATGAGTCAAAAGCACGCCTAAAACGAGGCAGGCCATTGGGTTCTAAGGATCGAAATCCTAGAAAAAGAAAAATAAATGATCAAGATGGCACTATGAAATAGTCTCATGAAAAAATTCACGATTTAACCAATCCTGAGATTCATGAGGAAATCACTGAGCTTGAGACTCAAGAAAATAAGGAACTATTAATAAATCCAATCGATATTGAGACAGATTTGAATCGATTTGATATAGTGGTGATGTCTTTGAATATAATATTGCATCTAGTATTATGTAAGATAGTGAGGATCTTGAACCTCAATATGTTGGAGAATGTTGATAAAGACGTGATTGGCCAAAATGGCAAGAAGCAATCCAATCTGAGTTGGATTCACTTGCGAAACGTGAAGTTTTTGGGCATGTAATCCAAACACCTAATGGTGTTAAGCCTGTTGGCTAGAAATGGGTCTTTGTACGCAAGAGAAATGAGAAAAATGAGGTATAAAGATATAAGGCACGCCTTGTTGCACAAGGATTTTCACAAAGGCCCGATGTCGATTATGAAAAGACATATTCACCCGTTATGGATGCTATAACGTTCTGTTATCTCATTAGTTTTGTTGTCCATGAAAAGCTTGACATACATTTAATAGATGTGGTTACCATATACCTTTACATCTCACTTGATAATGAGATATACATGAAAAATCCAAGGGATTTAAAATGCCTGACGCGCATAATTCAAAGTCCCGAGAAATATTTTCAATCAAATTGCAAAGATCTTTGTATGGTCTAAAGCAATCAGGTCGAATGTAGTATAACCATCTTAGTGATTATTTATTAAAGGAAGGATATATAAATGAAGCCATTTGTCCATATGTTTTTATAAAGAAAACAACATCGGAATATGTTGTACTTGCCGTATATGTTGATGACATAAACCTTATTGGAACTCCTACAGAACTCCAAAAGGCAATTGATTATTTAAAGAAGGAATTCGAGATGAAAGATCTCGGAAAGATAAAATTATGTCTCGGTTTGCAAATTGAACACTTGATAAACGAGATTTTTGTTCATCAATCTGCCTACATTGAAAAGATATTGAAACGGTTTTACATGGATGGAGCGCATCCATTAAGTACTACGATGGTTGTTCGATCACTTGATGTGAATAAGGATCCGTTCCGACCTCAAGAAAATAATGAATAGCTACTTGGTCCTGAAGTACCATGTCTTAGTGCGATTTGTGCACTAATGTATCTTGCTAATATAACAAGGCCTGACATAACTTTTTCAGTTAATGTTTTAGCAAGATATAGCTCTGCTCCTACAAGGATACATTGGAATGAAATCAAACACATATTGCGGTCTCTAAAAGAGACTACCGATATGGGCTTATTTTATGGCAATAATTACAGTCCCGATCTTGTTGATTATGCCGATACTGGGTATTTATCCGACCCACACAAGGCTCGATCTCAAACAGGCTATGTGTTTACGTGTGGAGGCACTGTCATATCTTAGCGATCGACTAAGCAATCAATCGTAGCTACTTCATCTAATCATGCTGAGATAATTGCTATTCATGAAGCAAGTCGAGAATGTGTGTGCTTGAGGTCTATAATACATCTTATTCGAGACAAATGTGATTTGAAATGTCACAAACTACCCACAATTTTGCATGAAGACAATACAACATGCATAACCTAATTGAAGGGAGGATTCATAAAATGAGATAGGACAAAGCACATTTCACCGAAGTTATTTTTCACACATGAGCTTCAAAAGAATGGTGATATCAATGTGCAACAAATTCGTTCAAGTGATAATATGACTGATTTGTTCATAAAATCTTTACCAACGTCAACTTTTAAGAAACTAGTGTAAAAATTGGGATGTAAAGGCTCAAGGATGTGAATTGATGATCTCATCATGGGGAGTTAATACGCGTTGCACTCTTTTTGCCTTACAAGGTTTTGTCCCACTGGGTTTTCTTTGCAAGATTTTTAATGAGGCAACCAAAATGAGTATTATTAAACATGTGTACTCCTTTTCCTTTATTAGAATTTTTTTCCCACTGAGTTTTATTTTAGTTAAGGTTTTAACGAGGCACATTACCTATTGAGCAACACATTCAAGGGAGAGTGTTATGAATAGAATTATACTTAGAGTGAATGTCTATCTTTTAGAGAGTTTGTTACTTTGTAGCTAAATTATTTTTTTCCCTATAAATAAAGAGGCTTTATCCACCGTAAATCATCTCAAAACAATAAAAATTTTCTCTTTTCTCTGCAATATTGTTCTTTCTTCTTTTATTGTTTCATTACATAATCAATATTTCTTATTTTCTTAAAATGCTAAAATTTTGAAAACTACTTGTCTAAACGACAAATAATGTGGAACTGAATTCGTATTTTCTTTATTTTACATTTTCACTAGATAAAAGAAAATCAAACGTAAGCAGCAAGAAAAACACACACTTAAAACGAAAAAAGAAAAGAAAAGAAAAGGAGCAAGGACGAAATGGTCAAAAAGAGCGTTTGCAGTGTGTGAGGTTTATCACAGAGCATCGACTCTTGAGAAGCTCGGAATCAAAACATTGTTAGACTCGTTTATTCTTTCTTTCTGTAATTGATCTTTTCAGACAAGATGACTCAAGACGTGGAGATGAAGGAGCAAGCAGCTCCTCCTTCCAATTCTCTTTCATCCACTGCCCCTTCCATCTTCCACCGTAAGTACAATCTTTGTGCCATTTTTGTTCATGGGTTTATTACTTTATTGTCCTAAAGATCTAAAGTTCTTATTTTTATTTTATGGGTATTGTTATTTTTACTGGAAATTTCTGTGTTTTCAAATTTGATAGATCAATGTTAGGGTTTTTATGAAATGGTCACTTTTAGGGCTTTTTCTATCTTGGGTGTGGGTTTTTTTGAGTGGAAATTGATCTGGGTTTCAATTGATAGATCAGAGTTTATGATTTTGGAGTAACGGTTATATTTTGACTGAATAATTTATTTAGCTTTATAATTTTGGTGTTTTCTTAGATTTGAAAGAGATAGCATCGTTGATTGAGACTGGGGCATATGCTCGTGAGGTTCGGAGGATTTCGAGAGCCGTGAGGCTGACTATGGCACTGAGGAAGAAGCTAAAGGCTTCTTCACTATCTGCTTTCCTCAATTATGTTCTAGTGCCTGGATCTGAGGTGTATTCCCGGCTATCTTCCTTCCTACCCAAGGTAAGGCTTTTATTTGGATAAGCAAGCAAATGTTTTACTGTATGATCAGGCACCAAGAAAGTGCATTCATGCATAAAAGTATCATTGGACTTATCTCTTTCATAACCAGCATATCCCACATATTGCAATTATGTAGGTACACGCGGATTTTGTTCTTCGGGCCATGTTTTGTTATCTCAGATATTTTGACTATTCAGGAAAAAAAATCTACGAGTTATATGTTCTATACTGAAATGTTCTTACGCAAGATATCTAGATGAAAATGCAGAGAACCTCTAGAGTTACCAAGTTATTGAACGTATCACAAAATAAAGAAGAAAAAAAGAACCCCAAATTATTAGGTACTGGAGTGAAACTGGTCCATTGTGAGCAAAATGGATATTGGGGTTTCATATAGCCGAACCTAGCTAGTTTGAGATTGAGGCCTACTAGTCATAGTAGTTGTTGTTTACTTATGCAGCACAGAATCACTGTAGGATTTGTGGAAATTAACTTGAAAATTGTCTGGAGGTTGATAGAATAATTGTATGCGCTTAACTTTCGTTTGGGTTCATGGAGTTTAGAGTACTCTTGATTTTTTCCCTTAGTAGCAGGTGCAATAGTACAGGAGCTTTTAATGATAAAACCTTCCGGATAGGAATTGGTGGTGTATGTGTCGTTGGTTATCGGTTTTTTGCTTTACAAATGTTTCTTTCTTGCAGGAAGACGAGCAGGATATGGAAGTTGATACTGCAACATCTGGAGCTCAGGCACCGATTAAGAATCCTTTGCCAGAGCTTGAGATCTATTGCTACTTGCTTGTATTGATATTTCTAATCGACCAGAAGAAATACAATGAGGTAGGATAAAGTAATGTGTTCCATGCTATATTGCCTTTTTCATGTTAGGTTTGTGTTTTCATGGAACTACAAATTATTCCTGGTTTACTTTCAGGCTAAGGCTTGCTCCTCAGCAAGTATTGCTCGTCTGAAAACTGTCAACAGGAGGACTGTTGATGTACTAGCTTCTAGGCTTTACTTCTACTACTCTCTGTGTTATGAACTTACTGGTGATCTTGCCGAAATTCGAGGGTGAGTCTGAGTTCTAAATTGTACAAGCTCGCATGTAACATCAATGCCATGCTTTGACAGAACAGGCTTTCCAAATGAGATTAGGGAAGAGAGAGTATTGAGTTTACTCCATCTCCTTTATGCCTATCTTTTGGCTCCATTTTTGGCTTTTCTATTTCCGTCTCTGATTGAACTTATAATTTACCGACAGTAATCTCCTTGCATTGCATCGGATTGCAACATTACGCCATGATGAGTTGGGTCAGGTTTGTCAGTATTTTTGGGCTTTGGGTGCTCTTTGTATTCTGGATATGATGTTTTGTACTTATTCGATGGTTATGGGTGCAGGAAACACTCCTTAATCTGCTGCTGCGGAATTATCTTCACTACAACTTGTACGATCAAGCAGAGAAATTGAGGTCAAAGGCCCCCCGTTTTGAAGCTCATTCAAATCAGCAGGCAATTCTCTACTCAATTCCCGTCCTCTCTGTGCTCATCTGTTTTTAAGTTCCATGATAGGTTTTTTTTATAAATATTCCTCTCACTATTGTTGATGCTTGATCCACCGTGATGTGCTAGGTTTAGAATTTGACAATAACTTCAGTGTTCTTAGGTTTTGTGAGGTTTTCTATTTTTTTGGTATACTTCTTGTATACAGGCACAATTTTTGCCCTTTCAATTAATGAAATTTATTACTTCATCAAATAAAAACTTTAGTGTTCTTAGGAATGCTTGGTACTTGTTAGTTTAGTTAAAGCTTTACATGTAGTTTAGATAGTGCTAATTGTATTTCAGATTGATATTAGTATCTCTCATCTTTGGATCAGTGCAAGGATCTATATTAACTTCTGAACTTTTGGGGCGGCTTGATTTTGGTGGTAGCTCGACTTGATTTTAGCAGTATCGATTAGTTCACTTGCTCTTTTAAATTTGTATTGCTGTAATTTGCTCAAAGAAGTTTTCTAGGATGTTTGTTCTTGCAATTTGATCCTCCTTTATTAACGTCCCCCCCTTTATTTTTTGTATCCTTCAGTTCAGCCGATACCTCTTTTACCTTGGAAAGATCAGGACAATCCAGTTGGAATACACTGATGCTAAAGAATCTCTTCTTCAAGCTGCTCGTAAAGCTCCTCAGGCTGCTCTTGGTTTCCGAGTTCAATGCAATAAATGGGCTATTATTGTCCGGTTATTGCTTGGAGAGATTCCAGAAAGGACTGTTTTTATGCAGAAAGGCATGGAGAAAGCATTAAGGCCATACTTTGAGCTGACAAATGTACGTATTACACTATTAAACTTAGAAAATCCGTTTTTTGGAGGTTATATTTTGAGATCTTAAGTATCAAGGTTGACTTTCTTGGAGGAGTTCATTTTTGAGAAGGAATAGCTCAAGATTTTTTGCGTTCTTTTTGATTTATTTCATCAAACATATGGAGAGAGATCCATTTTACCTCTCTATATAGAAGCACACCAGGTGTACATGTGACTAGATATTTATCTCTAACATTATGTAGCATGTTACTGTGTAGTATCATTTGATGCATTGTTTGTAACATGAGTCAAGTCCAAATAAAAGTTTTCTTATGAGAGATTTCATTTACTTGCCCAATATTCTAGAGACGTGTTTGTAAACCGTTGTGACACCTGTCTGGTGTGGGGAAGATTGACTGACCTTCTTTGTTTGTTTTTCTTTGAAGAATCTATGTTTCATGTGTCAGGGGGTTTTGGGGGGGGGTTAACAACGGGTGATTCATAGTGCTCCTGCTAAGGAAAACAGTCCCCCTTCCTGTGGCTCTTTTTTCATGGATCTCCAATCAAATCCTGAATTATATGGGTTATAATTTTTGGTTTTCAGGCTGTTCGCATAGGAGATCTGGAGTTATTTAGGAAAGTTGCTGAGAAGTTCTCCAGCACTTTTAGTTCAGATGGAACTAACAATTTGATTGTGAGACTCCGGCATAATGTCATTAGGACTGGGCTACGAAACATCAGTATCTCATACTCTCGGATCTCGCTGGTTGATGTTGCAAAAAAGCTGAGGTTGGATTCTCCAAACCCTGTTGCTGATGCTGAGAGTATCGTGTCCAAAGCAATTCGAGATGGTGCAATTGATGCGACGTTGGATCATGCGAATGGATGGATGGTATCGAAGGAGACTGGGGACATCTACTCTACAAATGAGCCTCAAATTGCTTTTAACTCAAGAATTGCCTTCTGTCTGAATATGCATAATGAGGCTGTGCGTGCTCTTCGATTTCCTCCAAATTCCCACAAGGAGAAAGAAAGTGCTGAGAAGAGGAGAGAGAGACAACAGCAAGAACAAGAGCTTGCTAAGCACATAGCTGAAGAGGATGATGATGATTTCTGATTGGGTCTATTATCATGAGATGAACAAGGAAGATGCTGTGTTTAAGATTTCCCTGCCATTTGAGATTTGGATATTTAGCTTATTCCTTGGATTAAACAAATATGCCTCATCTGCAATTTCTTTTGGCCTTCTATTTCTCCTATTATGAAGTACCAGATTTCATAATTAATGTTTTTACTGTTAGCAAAAAATTTGCTGTGGAATTCTCTCATATGTTTTTCTCCAACTATTTCTTTTTGTAGCCAAACACTTCCTTTTGCCAAAAATTGCTGTGCTTTTATATTTAGGTCTTTCATTTCTTCTGCTGTTACATCTACTAACCAGATATCTAGGAAAAGAAGTAAAGGGCAGCCCGGTGCACTAAGCTCCCGCTATGCGCAGAGTTCACGGAAGGGGCGGATTGTTGAAGTACTAATAGGAAATTATTGCTAATACGAGCTTAGCTTGCATCTTATCCTTCTATTCTAGCTGAGGAGGAAAATTTATAGCCCCTACAAACTAGTCAAATGACAGCGTGCCTTATTCTTCTCCCCTTATTTTCTCGGAGATAGCGTGGTCTAAGCTAGAACCATAGATTTGTGAGCTATTAGAATGAAGTTTCCGTAGTGTTGGGTATGGACTTGGGGCGTCACAGTTAGTTCATGTACTATTGAGAATAGGTATTAATGAGTTGAACCTAGATTGGTTCTTCTGGAGTAAATTAAATAAAAGAGTATAATACAACATGTTGACTCTCAAGTCTCAACCCCAATATTGAGCTTAAAAAATAGTTAATTGACTGGCTAAAACATATAAAAAATTCAATAAAAGGGATAAAGAGAAATATTTTTAACCTATAGTATGTTTAAGAAGTTATATAGTTGGATGATTTCAATTATGAACTGTTAATCAACTCATTGATAAATGTAAGGCAACTTGTTGTTTTTGAGCATCATTCTAGAATTGAGACGAAGTGTTTAAAATGCAATCAAAACAAGAAGGGAGATAAATTTAATTTGTTTGACCAGAGGTAGTACAAGCTAATTGCTTCGTTAAAAAAAGAATAGTGAATGCCGAGAATAAAAGTCGACTAATCATTCTATTCCCGAAAGAATAGTGATCTTACAATATGGGATTACCATATCTGATTTTTTATGAACTCTAAGAAAAAATCACGAATCACATTTTTTTGTAGTTAAAAACTAAAAAGTAATTCAGAAAATGAAACCAAATAAAAAATTATTGTACTTCATAAATGATAGGAGTAAGGATGAGGGACTCTAAATTTCTCTTCTTTTTTCATACAGTTTGCACATACGTCTATGCGATCTCTCGTTGCTTGACCAAAAGAAAAGCGATTTCTTCATTCTCAATCAACGAATTTCAAAACTCAGCTCATCTCCCGCTTTCTCTATTGTTTATGGATAGATGTTCTCTTAAACTTGTAGCTAAAGCAAGTCATCGAATCATTCCATAAATCTAGTCCTAAATTGTTAAGATCGAAATAATCAAACAGAAATTAACAAAGTAAGCTCATAAATTAGAATATCAGGCGATATAAAAAGAAGTATCAAAGAGAGCGAAAAAATTTAATTGTAAAAAATATAAGAAAGTATAAAAGTATTTAAGATAATACCAGTCACGAAATTCTTGGAAGTTTATCAGAGTGAGCAAAAACTTGTATTTACATTGTGATGCTGACAAATTAAAAGAAAAGTACTTCAATTTATATAATAATTCATTGCATTTTCTTCCAATGCTGAGTAAGATTTATACTTTCCTTTTAGATAAAGGCCAAAAACAATTATGGTAAATGTATTGTTATTCCATAGAAAATTAAAGTAGAAGAAAACCCCAAACGTGGTAAGCATCTAGCATAATCACCCTTTCTCTTCTTTTTTTTTTTTCTTTTTTTTTTTCTTTTGCTCTTAATAATTACACGTCAAGTTCAATTGCTTCTTTCTACAACTAGTTCACTTTTCAGTATCTGACAACATCCTGTACTTCAACCATGGAATTTTTAGCTTTTATCTCCGTTTTCTATATCGCAATGGTTGTTGTCTTGATTTCTCAAGTATTCTTCAAGACAAATCGAACGGTTAAAGATCAATCAACTCCTTCTGTATATGACTGCTCAGTTGATCCTTCTGTATTACAAGGTATGTTCCTCTATCTTCATACATGTATAAATATTCATGTTACATGGCTCGTTTACCGGTGCCTAACTCACATATCACGTGTTGCACTATTACCACTAGGCCAAGCCCGGCAGCATATCTTTCTGTTGTAAATTTCTGTCATATATACTCTCTTTTTCCTAGTTGTTGTTTTGCATTTTTAACTAATACTATTTTGAAACTAGATTTGAAGGAGATAGCATCAATGATTGAGAGTGGAGCAAATACAAGTGAAGTAAGGAAGATATACAAGGCTATGAGATTGACCATGAAACTCAGGAGGAAATTAAAGGTTTCAATGCTATCTGCTTTCTTGAATTATGCTCTTGGCCATGTTTCTGAGGTCCATGCACAGCTATCTTCATACGTGCCACAGGTAAATTAGTAGTCAAATAGCTATTTGCATGTTAAACTTGGAAATAAACATAAAAATCCACCATTTTCTACCTGTCTTTTATGTACAAAGGCCCTACTTAGTTTCTCATATAACCATTCTTCTATTTGTTGATCTTGCTTAATTGTTTGACATGCGTGCGCGTGTGTGTGTGTGTGTCGATATGTAATATCTCTGCTCTATGAATTCTTATATGGCTTTTAGCAGGATAAATATGACACTCAAGTTGATGTGGAAATGTCTGAAACTGAAGCCCATTCAACACATCTGGTGCCTGAGCTTGAGACTTATTGCTACTTGCTTGTTCTAATATTTCTGATTGATCAGAAAAAATACAAGGAGGTGAGATAAAATGGCTGTCTTTTACTCAACTTCTCCCTTTTATAAAGATATGTCTACTCAACTTCATGAATCACCGAGAATTTGCTTTACATTCAGGCTAAGGCTTGTTCCTCAGAAAGTATTGTTCGTCTAAAGAATATGAATAGCAGAACTGATGATGTTCTTGCATCGAAGCTCTATTCCTACTACTCTTTAAGTTATGAACTTGCTGGTGATCTCGCCGAAATTCGAGGGTAAGTTTGTTTAAATTTTTTCTGGCTATTACTACTGGTGTTCTTTCTAACTGAAACTATTGTTTACTAACAGTGACCTGCTTGCTTTGTACCGAACTGCAACAGTACGCCATAATAAGTTGAGTCAAGTATGTGAAATATTTGGTTCATGTCTTTGGTGTTTGTTATATACTGAAAACTGTTATAGTTTATTGGCTGGTTAAATCGCAGGAAACACTTCTCAATCTGTTACTGAGAAATTACCTTCACTATAACTTGTATGATCAAGCAGAAAAATTTCGCTCAAAGGCCCACTGTGTTGAAGCTCTTTCAAACCAACAGGTTTGTCGTCTATTTGCTTATGGATTAATTTTGTTGCACTAACGGTGCAAATAATTTACTATTTTAACATGTTGTAGCATGTAACATGCCTTATTTTTGAGGTTACTAATCTCACTTCTTGTGAATAGATCGTGTTTAAATTTCTGTGAACTACTTGTCCTCACAATGGCTTCCTCTCCTTTGGATTGCCTTTTCTGTTTCTTTCAGTTCTGTCGATACCTCCTCTACCAGGGAAAGATCAAGACAATTCAGTTGGAGTACACAGATGCCAAAGATTCTCTTGTACAAGCTGTGCAGAAAAGTCCAGTAACTGCAGTTGGTTTCCAAATACAATGCAATAAGTGGGCTATTATTGTCCAGTTATTGCTTGGAGAGATCCCTGAGAGGACTGTATTTACACAGAAAAGAATGGAGAAAGCATTGAGGCCATACTTTGAGCTGACAAATGTAAGTATAGGAGGATCAAATAAATAACTTTGACTTACTCTGAGCTTTATGTTAAATTTTGTAATTACTGTCTTTGCAGGCTATTCGCATAGGAGATCTAGAGCTATTTAGAACAGCAGATGAGAAATTTTCCAGCATTTTCAACCAAGACAGAACAAGTAACTTGATTGTCAGACTCAGGCATAATGTCATAAGGGCAGGGCTTAGAAACATCAGCGCTTCGTACTCTCGTATTTCACTGGCTGACATTGCCAAGAAGCTAAACTTGGATTCTGAAAATCCAGTTGATGATGCTGAGAACATTGTAGCCAAAGCAATTCGAGATGGCGCAATTGATGCCACATTAGACCATGCCAATGGATGGTTGGTATCAAAAGCAACTGGGGATGTTTACTCCACAAATGAGCCTCAAATTGCTTTTAACTCAAGAATTGCCTTCTGTCTTAATATGCACAATGAGGCTGTCCGTGCTCTTCGATTTCCACAAAATTTGAGAAATAAGCAAAGTGCGGCGACGTAGAGAGATGCTTTTTAATAGAATCAACATCTTGTAGGATTACCATTTTGAATTAAGGTACATATACTGACAATGTAAAGAATTTTTACAGTATCAATGCAATTTCACTTGATATAGCAAGTTGTTATTCTATTTTTACGTTATCATATCAGACTTGCTATGAAAAGTTACTCACTGTTGTGGATCAACTTGATCTGATGGTTTTTGAACAATTATACAATATCATTGCACAAAACTTATTCTTTTATCATTAAAATTTCCTGTAATTATGGGCAACATGTTTTGCATTTTATTTCTTGAAAGAATTCCAAACGAAAAATATCTTTTACTTAAAGCAAACACATATGTCTAGCAAGTACATATGACCCAACAAAATCAGTAACTACCTACTTCACATGATATCTATTTTGGTTATTGTCACGAGGGAGCGAATTTGACAAATATCCTTCAGTACCTCAAGATGTTCAAATAAACTTCGAAGTCTATATGCAATGAAGTAGATGAGTTTGCACAAACATGCTCTTCACCCTTACTTTCTCCATCGGCTTGGGGAAGAGGTACACTGGAGTGCCTTGCAAAATGACTCTGAGAGCAGTCATTCAACCTGCTGAACTCAAACCAAAAGACTTGACGATAGTGCTAACCCTTTCAGCAAAAGTTCTGGATGTTATCTTCTTGCCAGGAACATGAAATGGATTTGACACAGCATCAACATATGCGGCATGAAATTTCCTGAAAAACTGTAAATAATTTCCACCAAAAAGATTAAGCAAGCTGCTATGCTAAAGGCTGAATATCACATACATCACACCAAAGAACATCTGAAACTTAATGTGCTTCAACAGTGTTTCTTCAACATAAAGCCATTGGTATCGTTCAAACAAAGTATTCCCAATTTCCCTCATCCCAGTTTTCATGTAGACGTACTATTTAACCAAATTGCAGGATTAAATTATCTTGTTTGCAGTATTCATTCATGATGATAACAGTGCTTTTGTGTTTTACATTGGGAGACTGGATAGCCATTCTTTTCGCGGCATAAAATACATTAATGTAGTTTTACTAACGAGGGACCACCTTACTGTTTTTTTACTGTGGAAGACTGACCCTTGGGCAAAATACAAACTGGTATAGCTGTTTCTGCAACATATCACGCTAGCAACCTGGGACACTAGAATCTCTTAGCAGTTCAGACATGAGTAAACTTTGGTTCTACGTTTTTCTACGTAACTTTTTCCTAAGTGCACTTATTTGTACGGATGTGATAACAGTAATATTCTATCATTGCTTCACCCAGTGGCGGGGCCGGAAATTTCATTAAGTGGAGTCAAAATATAAAGAAACAAACTCACCAAGAAGTCAAGGGGCGTCATTATATAGTATATATACATATTTTTAAAAAAATTACAGTATAATTTTCCGACGAAGGGTTGTCGGTTGACACTCCTTTGGTGCATGTGGCTCCGCCACCGGCTTCACCGTGTTAAACATAGGAGCTATGTCTTCACCCTTTACATGAAAGTTTTCCAATTTGAGGAAATAGCTAATGTTTATATTTCTCTTAAAAAATTGAAATAGCTAATGTCTAGATGAAGATATGTTAACAGCATACCATCATAAAAGAAACCTATCCTAATGAAGTACAATGGAGACTCCGCAAAATTGTAGTTCCCCTTCTGTTTCAAGATACCAGGTAAAACTGGCTCTGACTTCTTTTGCCACACACACACAGACACACATTAATATACGGATCCACTTGATTTTAGAGAACAAGAATGAACAGCCTCAGACGGACACCGCGAAGAATGATAATATCTGAGAGCTCATCAAAGAGTTACCAGGAACAGGAATGTGAAGGAGACAAGACATCAAATGTAACAAAATGCAATATTAAAGGATCTGAGACACAAGAGGGTTATATTTGTCCGCGTTATTTAGCTGTAAGTTTTGCAGAATATACCTAAATGGACCAAGACAAGATTTTCGGATACTTATTTTCTGTCATAAGCAACAAAGAAGAAAAAAACCTTCCAACAACTTGGTATTTCCGAAATACAAATCAACTCAGAAAAGACGAGAGTAATTCCACTTCTTTCAGATTTTTATCAACCTCGGATCACTAAATCTATTATTTTAACACAAGAATGCATTATGCCTCAATAAGAGCAGATATGTTGGTTTGGAACAGAAAAAGAGGAAGTAGTCAACCAATGTAAGAACAAAACAAGGCAGCACTTACATTTCTCACATCTGCATCTCGAACATCAAGATCTGTTGTGACCAATATGAGTTTCACCTTTGTATTAGTCAAATAACCATACCTGAAAGATATATAATAGCACACGGAGGAAGACAGGCTTAATGTCAATGATCTTATATATTCCCAAAAGGCTATGTTAAGTGGACTCTGGTACTCAGGGGCGGCCCAAGAAGATTGGTGGCCTAAAACCAATTTTTAATTTGGGGCCTTTCGGAAGGAAAAAAAAAATTATCATAACATCGATGATTCATTCCGATGTTCCTACACATAAAACAACACAATTTAGTGCAATTGTCGCACAATAACTCACTTAAACCAACAAAATATAGGGCGAGTAATGGGCTAAAAGTATAGAATTTTGGCCTAACATCAGTTGTTAATAGTTTCTTTTATAAATAATTTAATCTCTCCTAAGATATTGTTGATCTTAGATAATAGAACCAAATTCATATAGATACCTCACTAATGATGTCACTCGTAAAATTTAAATAATGAAAAGTTTTATATTCGCGACAAGGGTTTAGGAGGAGTGATTCTCTTTCTGCATTTTTTGCTCAAACAGTTACATTACTACTAAATTAAAAGTTATCTTGACTTTTTATAAAATATTTTTATTTTATTTTAACATACCCAATATATTTAGACCCTACCCTAAAGATTGTTGTGAGATGTATTTGATCCAACTTACCTTAATTAAATATATTGGGTTCGAGTCCTGCGGTTAAAAAAATCATGTTAAAACGTGTCTTTAACTAGGCCTTACGCGGTACGAATCTAAATTAGTCGGGGTCTCAATACAAATACGAGTAGAAAAACAAAATCAAAATTTGGGGCCCTTAAAATTTGGGGGCCTAAAGCCTTTGCTTTAGTGGCTTGACACTTGGGCCGCCCCTGCTGGTACTATGGTTCATATTCAGTGCATCTGCAGTTACTCNAACCTCTTTCATCGACAACATCAAGGGAGCAATGAACAATGTGATGAAGCTTTAGGGCATCATCCGCTTCAGTGAAGCTCTGTATATAAAGCGGATTGTTCTGTCCATCGGACGAAAATCAATAAAATTGCACCATATTTGGCTAATTAAGTTCTAAAAAGAAGAAAGAGATAGAAAATTGAAAGAAAAGAAACAAGTTGCTGGGGGGAAATGGGAGTACCTGGTGACCGACGACGGCGACGCAAACGATCATCTTCTCCGACGGGAATATCACCGAAAAGAAGAGTTTTACAGTGTTCCCAGCTGTGAATCTGGTAATTCAAGGGACAAAAAATTATGAGTCCTTTTTTTGTTTAACTTAAGATTTTTCAAAAATATTTAACACTATGTCATTTTGAAAAATCAATTAGTTTTTCTTAAACTACGAATTATTTAATTACTTATAAGCTTGTTATAATTACTACTCTTATGCAGTTTTAAGTAAGTCCTTAAAGTAAAGGATTATGAAATAAATGGCTGAATTCAAATGTTTGACGGTATATTCGGACCTATTAATTTTTTAGAGTTTAAATTTTATGCATGGTTAATGTACAAATCTTTCAAGTAATTCCAAAAGTTGTAATTTCAAAGGTAACTGCATTGATTTTAGTTTCTCATATAATTATAATAACAAAAATATATTAAAGATAAGTTGACTCATGGATATACCTAGGGGTGTCAGTGGATATTTAAAAATCGACTAAACCGATCGAATCATACCGTATCGAACCGATTTTTAGGTTTCTTTTAATAAAACCGTAGTTTTTTTTTATATATTTCTATAATTGTACCGATAACTAGGATATATTTTCTAATTTATGAAAATAAACCGAGAAAATATCGAAACGTACCAAATAAATTTACATGTAAAAAATATATTTATATATTAAGTTTAAAAATAATAAAGCATTAATTTTTTTTCGTGGGACTTGGAATTATGAACACGGTTACAAGTCATGAAGTAATTAAACTCAAAATCCTAATTCCCAACCTATTATGCTACTCATGTTAAAACTAAACTATTTCCAGCATATTCACTAGCAAGAAATAAGGTATTCTAACTATTATAAGTAGCAAAGTACAATGTATTGAATACGTTTTTTTCCGTATGATTTAGATTTATCTTTTTGAATATTTAATCTTTTCTAGACTTCATTCTTGAGTCCCAACTTGGTTAATATCTTTTACACTCGTGTGGTTTATATTTTCTTTGTCTTTGCTTAATATCTTTTATGCTATTGTAGAATAGTTAATGGATCTATACTCTCACCATCTTTCATGTTCTTAATCCATCACCCTTTAAATAGTAAAAATGTATAGAGAGTTTTGCTAAATTCTATAAAAGTATGTATGTTATTGCATTCTACTTCTACTACTTTTACATGACATTTAGAAAATACCGAAACATAACCGAACCGTACCGATACCGAAGAAAATCCGGCATGATTGAGACGGTTTTGAAAAGTCTAATTTTAGTTATATATAATAGAATAGTCGAAAAATTGGTATGGTACTAATTTTATAAAATAACCGACCGAACCGAACTATTGATACCCCTAGATATACCTATAGCCGTCAAAACGGGCTTGGTCCGTGAGGCCAACTCAAACTAGCCCGCTACTTGGGTAGGTTTGGGCTAGAATTTTTTGAGTCCATTTAAAACGGAGGCTTATAAGTCCCCCAAGACAGCCCGCTGGCCCTTGAGACTTGACCGAGGTTGGGCCTAGGCCGGCCCGTGGCCAAAAATTAATTAAATTCAAATTAACTAACTATTAAATATTTAATATTTTAAAAAACTAAAAACTAAAAAAATCATTAACTATAATCCTCATTCCCCGACCCTAGATTGCTCATTTATCCTTCCATATCAACTAGAATTTAGATTTTTGACATGCATGTAATATGAAAAAATTAGTTTTTCTTTTGCTTAACTAATAACGAACTCGAAAAGTTTTAGGTGGCCAATAATAATCTTTTTTTCAAAAGAAAATATTACGTCAAGTGGCCAATAATCAGTTTGGATTACTTTAATATATTATTAATATTTAAACCTCTCTTCAGTATAGAAAAAGATAAATTTTAAATAAAAAAAAATTGACCACTAGCAAATTTCATGAATTCTAAAATTTTGATGGACTATAATGATGAAATCAACAAATGATGTTAATCCTAAATTAAAAAATCTCAGCATATAAACTTATTGAATCAATCCCTGAATATGAGGAAAATGAAAGAAAAGTATTAAGAAAATATTCATATAACTTTAAAACAGAAGAGCTAGAGATATACAGAATTTACATTTCAATTACGAGATTTCTCGTCAAATATTAAGTTTTTTATACGCTCTAATCAATCAGAAGTTATTTACATGATTAATCGACTATGTCACGAAAAAATATTTAAGAATTTAAAGAAATTTTTTTTTCTAAAAAAAATTGAAGGGCCGGCCCGCCTTAACCCGCGACCCTCTTAGGGCTGGGTTGTTATGGCCATTTTAAGGCCCATTCAATGGCGAGCCGGCCCATCCTAGTCCAACAAATTTAAAAGCCCACGAGACTTGGGTCGAGTTGGGCTGAACTGACCCGTTTTGACAGCTCTAGATGTATCGGTACGCTAAAATTATTTATTTTTCCAGCTTATTCATTAAATTCTAATGTCTTTTACGATTTTCTCTTAATGTTAACGTCAAAATCAGAGAAGTTCCACATTCAAACATTGTGAACCTTCTAAAAATTAATTCTTCGCCTCAAATATCCGGGATCTTGTGACCTTTTTCTGCTTAAACAGTATAAAAAAATATTTTATATTCTTAATACTCTCGTTTATAAGTATCTAATAACCCTATAAGTTTTTGTTATTTTAAACAACAAAGAAAGATAGTAGTGTAGACAATAAATTGCGTCGAGAAAATAAAATCAGGGCGAAAAATATTATAACAATCGTAGTATTTTATTTTAAATATTTGAGTGTACAATATCTATGAATCATTCGATTCTTCTTTTCAATAGTAAATAAATTCAAGGGCCTTTGAACTTGATCTTGAATATGTAGTTGTCGCCACGAACGATGATCTTGTTCTTGAGCTTTAGTTTGGTTGCTTGAACTTGACCTTGATTTGTTCTTCCTTCTTGAGCTTGAACTTGATTTTTTCTTCGTTCTTGAACTTGAACTTGATTTCTTGAACTTGAACTTGATTGTTTGGAGCTTGAAACTGGTGGAGGAATTTGCAGTGTTTGATCCACGAGCTCTCTCTTGCTTCTTATTATAACTTTTGGTGTCTTTTCTGGGTTATGAAGACCCCTATTTATAGTTGTGGAAGGGAGTAGTTATGATAAGAACAAACTCTTTCCGACCAATCAAATTGAAGTGTGACATGACCGCATTTGATTGGTCAGAACATGTCACATGCACACGTGGCGCGATTTCATTGGCCTTTTAATGTGACTTAGCATGCCTTGTCATTTTGACACGTGGCATGATCCTGTTGGCTCTTCCGCTTGACTTGGCGTGCCACGTCATTTGACACGTGGCACCAAATCGGGCTTCTAGGAAGATGACATATTGGACTTAGTGAAATGGGTTCATTCCTTGTAGCCCAATTAAATGGGCTAGCCTAATAGGTTTGAACATATTTATTTAACCCATATGTATTGGGCTTATATAATTAATTTAATTATATTAGCCCATTATATTTATTTAACCTAAAATATATTTAATTGAGATTAAATCCAAATTTCTTATGAATTTAAATTCAATAAAATTTTAATTGCCTACGAGTATGTACACGAAATGTTTTGAAAATTAAAGGACAAAAAAGTTGAAGTTAAGCGTTTCATAAGCTATTTTGCCTTTTTTTTTTTAAATTTTAAAAAGTACTAAATTCACAAGTCATATCATAATGATAAGACTGCTATTAGCCTAGTACTATATTCTTCTTTCTTGCAATTTTTATGCACATATCAACTCCCCCTTCAAAAGTGTTTTTACAGTTTCCTATTTTGGCCTTTTGAAGTCAACGTGAACAAATTTTTGCTCAAATGAGTGGTCTCCCAATAAGTCAGTAAATGAAAATTATTTTGGAGCAAAGTAAATGAAAATTATTTTTGGCAAATTAGGCAACGAAGCCACCTCTCACGCTTTTTAGTTATTGTTGTTTAATTCCTGTTAAATTAATTGTATTTTTTACGTTTTATATATTAATTTCGTAATAGGTATTATTTTTACTAGATTCCTCCTTTACGTGTATGTAATCAATTAATCACCCTTATGATAATAATTTTGCTATTCTTGGAACTATCTTTCCTTTTATTATGTCATTTTATTAGTTATTGAAAAATGTGATTTTCGTCCTTTCGTTATAATTTTTTTCATAAAAGACTCTAATTTTGTTTTATGCAAAGTTAGTAAATCTTTTTTCTTGTCTTAATTAAAAACTCAAATACACAATATCTAATGTTCATAAAAAGTGCTTATTTTTTGTATGAATCTTATGCATTATACCAATACATAATTTTGATATCGCAAAAATATATAAAAATTACTTATTACATCGATAACAAACTTAGATGTGAATCAATAAGAAATCAACAAACATATGCGAACCTTGAACCAATAAAAAAAAAAGAGAAATTTTTTTTGATTACCCCTTCCCTCAAATAATATACTTAACTTGATGAGGGATATTCATTTCGTAACAAAATTGTTTTGCTTCTTCCAATCTATTAAGAAAAGTATTATCCCTTTTTCAGCAGGAACGATATTCTAAGCGGACATTAAAAAAAAATTTGAAAGCATAAATAATTAGAATATTTCAACAGATAAAATTAATAAACATAAATAATAAATCACGTACAAGCGTCATTGTCAAAAGAAGAAAAGGCGAGGGTAATTGAGTAATTTAAAGACGACCTATACCATCAAAAAGACTTATACGGCACGTAATGACAATTTTGCCCCTCACCTCACGGCTTGGTTCTTGGCTCTTTTCACCGCTTTAGCTCATTCCTCAGACGTTGAAGAATATACATTTTAATTTAAATACACATATAAACACACACATTCACGATCAATAGACCGTGGAAGAGATAGCCGTTCATTTCCGAATGCAATCGCAATAGCTTCCAGCTTCGTGTCCTTTCTCATATGCTAACTCTCCGATTCCGAAGGTATGTTCGTTTATATTCAAATTCCTAAGGCATTGACGTTGTTGAAATTGAATGGATAAATAGATGAAATTCTTATTGCTTGCTCTAAACATTTTTAGCGATTTATTCAGTTGGATTTTGTTGTTTTTGATGTATGCGGAAATCTATTGGTTAAATGTGTGTTTGAGGAAGGAACATTTCCAGCTCGTTTTTGGCTGTCTGATTGGAAATTTTCTGTAATGATCGGGTCATTCTGGTAATTTGAAGCTAGGGTTACATGACTGGATTTGTTTTCTTGCTTGGGTTTGGATGGAGGCTGTGTTTGGCTGATGTAGAAATCTGAGAAAAGATGAAATTTTTGATAAGAATCTTTTTTTAATCAGGAAATTAGGGTGAGGTGAACTCAAACTGAGTTCAACTGTTTAGTTGTTATTGGGGCATTTGATAGAGGCATTTCTAAACGTTTTTTTTGAGTCAATACTAGTATAGGTTGTCTCTTCTGTAAATTAAAATCCATCTTCACAGCTCTAAGCTAGCCTTAGGGGCACCCAAGGGTGTGGCTTGATGGTCAACGAAGTGGGAGGAGAATCATGAGGTCTGAGGTTCAAAATCCCTATTTGACCAAGCCTTGGTGGGCAAAGTTACCCAATACCTGTGTTGGTGGGAGATAGCAGGTACCCATGGAATATATTAGTCGAGGTGGGCACAAGCTGACCCGGACACTACCATCATTAAAAAAAGAAGAAGCTTGTCCTAGGTGGTTCATTTGGTTAGCATCATTTGTTTTCAATAGGTACATTAGATAACTTGTCGAGTCATTGATTTTATGATAGAAACAATGTTTCATTTCATACTGTGATTGTGCTTCTTTTGAGCTTCAGAATGCAGTGATGCTGTTGTCGGAGGAACATTGAAAGTTTGCAATGTAGTGTACTTTGGAGAAGTTGCTTTTACGAATGGGGTTCGTTTTTTCCTGTTAATAAAATGAAAATTCTTTTTTAAAATTTCAAATGAACGAACAGAATATGTGTATAGTCCAGTCCTTTTCGTCTCATACACAAACTTGACATTTGTCTAAATTATGGGACGGGCACTAGGGTTTTTGAATGAATTTCTTATTGTATCCTTATCTGTGCTTGTTAGATGGAAGCTGGCCAACATCATGATACTTCCCGTAATGCTGAGCCCATCACAAATGCAAATGAACGTAGCAATTTGATACAAGGTGAATCTTTAGCAAATGTGGCAAGTTCTGATACAGAAGTTAGATCCGAATGCAGGCCAGAAGAGATACTCCGGAACTTACAGAATGTCTCCTATATATACAGACAAGATGTTGTGAAAAGCAAAACTGATGGTAAGATTGGGATTGTGACCGAAGTTGCTGGTGACTCAGATTCAGATAGCAGCTTAACTGATGATGACGACGAGGATGAGGATGAGGATGAGGATGAGGATGAGGATGATGGAGACGAAGAAGAAGAAGAAAATGATGGTGGTGGTGGTGACAATGGTGATTCCAACTCGGAAGGCGATAGGGATAACAATGAAAATGCTGAGGAAACTGCTGATGGGAACAAAGACTGTAGTAACAATAAGAGTGGTCCTCTTACTGCAGACCATGTTCGAGTCCTGTGGATGGATGAGTCTGAGTCAACAGAGAGTATTGATAATGTCGTTGTTATTGACAGAGGATTTCTGCATGGTGATTATGTCGCTGCAGCTTCTGATCCAACAGGTCAAGTAGGACTGGTGGTTGATATCGATATATCTGTTGATTTGTTATCGCATGATGGATCTATTTTTAAAAATGTCTCATCTAAGGAGTTGAAACGGGTTAGAGATTTTACAGTTGGCGATTATGTTGTCCTTGGCCCTTGGTTGGGTAGGATTGATGATGTTTTTGATAATGTCACTGTGATGTTTGATGATGGTTCTGTTTGTAAAGTTATGAAGGCTGACCCCTTACGCCTTAAACCAGTTGGTAGGAGTGGCCTTGAAGATGGACATTTTCCTTATTATCCTGGTCAGCGTGTAAAAGCAAGCTCATCATCAGTTTTCAAGAACTCCAGGTGGTTATCGGGCTCGTGGAAAGCAAATAGGGTAGAAGGTACAGTAACTAAAGTTACTGTTGGTTCTGTTTTCATCTATTGGATTGCATCAGCTGGACATGGGCCCGATTCCTCCACTGCTCCAGCTGAAGAACAAAACCCAAAAAACTTGAAACTGTTGTCTTGCTTTTCTCATGCAATCTGGCAACTAGGAGACTGGTGTCTTCTTCCTTCACTTCCAATATCATCATCTCTTGCCTTGGACAAGCAATTGTCGAAATTACAACTTTGTGACTCCACCAAAACTGTTTCAGAATCTTCTCAATCTCTAACAGATTGTGATTCCAAAGTTGTCAATTTGGAGGAGTCAACCGGGAATAGTGAATCTTTGGATATTCATCTGGAATCTTCCGAGAATGAGAATGTCACTTCTGAAACTTTAGAGCATGATTCCCTTGCAGAGTCAAGTACATGTGCTAATTCATCGTCAGTTTCCAAGGAATCAGGCACAGAGTCATGGCCACTTCATCGTAAAAAGATCCGCAAAGTTGTGATTAGGAGGGATAAAAAGGCTCGTAAGAAAGAGGAAAATTTTGAAAGAGCTCTTCTAATTGTGAATGCTAGAACTTCTGTTGACGTTGCATGGCAGGATGGAATAATAGAAAAAGGTTTGGAATCTACATCCTTGATCCCTATTGAAAGCCCAGGAGATCATGAATTTGTTGCTGAACAGTATGTGGTAGAGAAAGCTGCTGATGATGCTGATGATCCTAATGATGTTAGACGTGTTGGGGTTGTGAAAAGTGTTAATGCAAAGGAACGGACAGCTTATGTGAGGTGGTTAAAGCTAGTTACAAGGGCAGAGGACCCCAAGGAGTTTGACAAAGAGGAGGTAGTCAGTGTATATGAACTGGAGGGGCATCCTGACTATGACTATTGTTACGGTGACGTTGTTATTCGCTTGTTACCTGTTTCTCTACCAGCAAAAGTAGGTTCTGTGGTGAAATCTGCAGAAGAATCAGAACATTTGTTGGTTCCAACTGAAGCCAAAGAAGACAAGCAACAACATTCAAGATGCAATGAAGCAGAAGCCGCTCCAAGTGATGATCCTTGTTCCGAATTTTCGGATCTCTCTTGGGTTGGGAATATCACTGGCCTCAGAAATGGGGACATCGAAGTCACGTGGGCTGATGGGATGATATCCATGGTACTTTCCAAGATTGGTTATTCTTTCTCCACTTTTTAATTGCATGTTCAGGGTAATCCCTTGATCACTCCATGGCTAATAAGAAGACTTTCACCTTTTATGTTTTTTCTTCTATCATCATTTATAACTTGTATGTCTGTGATTGGTTCTTCTGTGGTTGACTTTTTGGCCGGGTATTTTCTGTTGGAACTGGAAAACCAATATGTCAGTTCATACTTCTCTGCACAGTTAGATCGAGGAAAAGCGAAAAAAGGACTTGGACTAACCACGTTGGCGTATATCCTTGACCATGGTTCCTGACAGACTTGTTTTTCTGATTTTTATGGATGCACACATTTCATTGATAACTAACATTAAACCATCAAGAGAGAATACAGTGTACTTTATTTTATTTCTTCATATTTCCTTTTTTAAGGTGGTAGTACATTCTTATAACAGTTGCCATGAGAAATTCATATTGTGATGCTGCCTTTCTGGCTTCTTCAGGTTGGGCCACAAGCAATTTATGTTGTTGATCGTGATGATGATGAGTCTATCGCAGGCGGAAGTGAAGTTGGTGATGATGCAGCTAGCTGGGAAACAATTGAAGATAATGAAAGGGAGACCCTTGAGACTGCAGAAGAGGTTGGTGATTGCAAAAAAGCTTTTATTAGTTATCTGATCTGTTCTGTTTGATTTAAACATCGGATCTGACGGTATCACTTGTTTCCTGTTCATTTCTATTACATCATCTTAATGTATACACCCTTGATGATGCGAGAAATTGTCCTTTTTAAAATAAGTACAGGCTTCACAGTATGGCTGCTTTAGGATTGTGGTACTAATAATCTATTTCCATATTTAACTATTTATCAAAAGAGAATTGCAAGTAACCCTCCAAAGGGTATGCACATCACCAGCACTCTGTTGGTGCTGGCACAGTTAATAATAGAATGTTGTGTTACTTATCCCATGAAAAAGTGTAACCCTTCAAGTGGTGGAGCTCTATTGTAGATGCAGATGTCTTCTTTCTCTATCCTCTTTTATTTTTTTATTTTATTTTATCTTTTCATTGATAAAACAGAAATAACTTCAGTAGATGTATATGTCTGCAACTTAACTTACAACTTGTCAGATAGTAATCATCAGTCTTACTAATATAAATTAAGTATTAGATGTGAAGAAATTTTTTCTTATTTTATCTTGAAGGTCGATTAGGAGATTAATTAAAATAGTACTTATTGCCAATAGCTGTGTGAGAACAGGTGTATTAATGTTTGTATTAGCATGATGTAATGAATAACGGGATCTCTTTCAGGAACTTGGAACAACAAATACTACGGACATCAGTATTGAAGATGAAGACAGTGCCATGGCCACTGAAACTTCAGGAAGGAATGGGGCTCTGGCTATTCCCCTGGCTGCACTAGGATTTGTGACCAGGCTGGCCTCTGGAATATTTTCTAGGAGCCGCAAACAGACTGATTCTTCAAGCTTAGATTCCAGAAGTGAAGATGAAGAAAGGGAGGGAGCATTGGCAAGAATATATACCGGTGATGAATCATGGTCTGGAGACCTTGATAATTCTCCAAGGCTACCTGCTGCAGGAAATGGAGAAGAACATGACACTATGGAAGTCACCGAGTTGGACATCGTTGAAGCTAACTTGAAGCCAGGAATAGGAAATTCCTCAGATCAACATGATAACCAAATGTATAGTTTTAAACGCTTTGATATCACCACAGATCCTTATGATCATCATTTTCTTGGTGCAAGTGGCCAGGTTAGTCTTGCCTCTGAGTTCTTCCTTATAATTTGTTCCACTTCTTGACTAATGTTTTTAGAAAATTTATTCTATAGTTTGGTACTTGTAAGTACTTCATTCCCTTAAAGCTTTAAAGGAATCCTTAGTGGGCGTTTGGGCATAAGAATTATAAAATTCCAAAAAAAAGTGAAAAATTTTTTCAAGTGAAAATGGTATTTGAAAATTAGAGTTGTGTTTGGACATGAATATAATTTTGGGTTGTTTTTGAAGTTTTGTGAGTGATCTGAGTGAAAATTTTGAAAAACAGCTTTTTGGAGTTTTTCAAATTTTCGAAAAATTCCAAAATTCATCTTCAAGTGAAAATTGAAAATTTTATGGCCAAACATTGATTTCGAAAAAAAGTGAAATTTTTTCCAAAAGAAGTGAAAAAAATCTTATGTCCAAACGGGCTCTTAATCCATCACTCTTTTCCATTTTCAAGATGGTTCATAGCTTGTGTTACACTACTTTTTCTCCATTTCTCTACTAGTTTTAGAAAGAAACAACACACCTTTTCTATTTGGGTCAGGGGTGGGGTTGGAGAGGGCAGTGTGGTGTTGCATGATGTCATGGTTAATTCATATCATGAATACTAAAGGTGAGCTAGTTATGAGTGACTTGGTGAATATCCTTTACTCCGAGTCCCTCTCAAGGAGTAGTTCTACCATCTCAAATTTGAAAGAGGTCTTCTACCGAGCCTTGTTGATCTTTATGTGCAGAATAATGCTGGGAGGAAGTGGCTTAAGAAAGTTCAACAAGATTGGAACATACTTCAAAATAACCTGCCAGGTATTTTATCAGATTTTTTTTGATAAGTAGGTATATTATCATATGATTTATCTCTCCATATTCTATAATTGTTCTTTGAAATTGTTATTTTCACATTCAAGCTACACCACCAGCTTTCACATACATTAACTACGCCTCAATCTCAAACTAGTTGGGATCGATTATCAAATAATCAGCTTTAACGTTCAGACTTATTTCATCAGATGGAATATATGTACGTGTTTATGAAGATCACATGGATCTTCATAAACACGTACATATATTTCATCAGATGGAATATATGTACGTGTTTATGAAGATCACATGGATCTTCTAAGGGCAGTGATTGTTGGAGCATATGGGACCCCTTACCAAGATGGTTTATTCTTCTTTGATTTCCACCTTCCACCCGAGTACCCTGATGTTCCACCAGTAAGCATGCTTAACGTTGCTTTCCTTAAATAGAGGGTCATAGTTTGCATCTTAATCTCCTTTTGCCTCATGACTTTATTCCTGTAGTTTGTTTTTCAAATGTTTATGTTGTATTGCAGTCAGCATATTATCATTCTGGTGGCTGGCGGATAAATCCAAACTTGTACGAGGAAGGGAAAGTTTGTCTCAGCCTTTTAAATACTTGGACAGGCAGAGGGAATGAGGTCTGGGATCCTTCATCGTCGAGTATACTTCAAGTCCTAGTTTCACTTCAAGGGCTAGTTTTGAATTCCAGGCCATATTTCAATGAAGCTGGTTATGACAAGCAGATTGGGACAGCTGAAGGAGAAAAGAATTCGCTATCCTACAACGAAAATACCTTCTTATTAAACTGTAAGACAATGATGTATCTGATGAGGAGGCCCCCTAAGGTAATTGGTATCTTCTTATTTTTGGTATGCTATTTTATATGTGCTAGTCTGACATACCATTTTGCCTTGTTTTATGTGCCAAGATGATTCACTAGCTGATAATCTCCATTCTCCATTCCTTACGGCATCTATTGTTGACGTCCTAGTTCATTTTTCATTTTGGATTTCATCTTTGTTTTTGAGGTGTTTGAAATCAGATATAAAGTCATTGTTTGAAATTTTGAAACCAACTAGTGTACTTGCCCGCGCTTCGCATAGTCATGAAAAAATCGAAAATGAAAAAAATTAAATATGAATTTTTTTAATGTTATTAAAAATAATGTTTACTGCTATCCTTTTTCCGTTTCTTGTAATATCCAACAAAAACTCCTTCAGAAAAGGTATGTGAAAGACATCTCGGATTAAATGAAACAACTATTTAAATCAGTGTATGAAGTTGATTAAAGAAAACAAAGAGAAAGCTAATGTATCCTCTATTTCATTTCTTTTTTCCCGACTTCTCTTCACCCTGCTTCATCACAGTCTATTGATCTCAACACATCACCAAATACTGCATTAAACATGTATCTGGCTTCTCTGCTAAACCAGCCCAATGCAGGTCATTTCTTTGGTGCTCAGCCCATTTCAGTGGATTCTCTTTTGGCAACTTAATTCGTTGATTGAAAGTAGAAACAATGATTTGAATAAGATCTTAGTAGGAAATGGAGTATAAGATTTTAGTAGGAAATGAAGATCTTAGTAGTATGAGATCAGATCGCAGTAGTAGGAATTGGGTTTTTCTCCGTTGCTTGTCCTTTTTTATGAAAACTCCAAATTGTTCACTACTCTATGTCAATTTATTTCAGCTATTTCTTCTTGCGTTCGTCAAATTGCTGGAAGCTTTTTTTCCTTTTTTTCCATAACACTGTTCATAAGACTGTAACTTAAGTTTAACTAAAAAAATTTGATGAACCCAATTTCCGAAGATGGATGTTTTTTGGTTTTCTGATTTTGGGTTGAATGTGGGATAGGGTGTTTTGATGAAGAAGAAAGAGAAGGTTGAAAAGAAAATGAATAATAAAAAAATAAAGAGATTTGGAGGGTAATGGGTCGAGTAATGGGTTAAAAACAAGGGTGAGTTTTAATCTGAACCGGGTATTTAAAATTGGGGGTGGGTCATTCATTCCTGAGCTGCCACGTATCGCTCCGTCTAAATTAAGGGTAAATATGTTTCATAGTATAACGGTAGGGTGTTAAGGGAATTGATAGTGAAACGGAGGATATATTTAAACAATTTTTGATAATACGGGGATATATTTGACCCTTTTCCGTAAAACAATTCATTCTTGTTAACTGATCAATTTGATGATAATTTGTTTTAAAATATTTGATTGAAATAGGATTTTGAAGAGCTTATCAGAGAGCACTTTAGGATGCGTGGTTATTACATCCTCAAGGCATGTGACACGTACATGAAAGGATTCCTTATTGGCTCTCTTAGAAAGGATGCGTCCAATAGCAGTAACAGTGCTAATTCAAATTCAGTTGGTTTCAAGCTAATGATGGCTAAGATTGTACCAAAACTTTTCTTGGCTCTGAATGAAATTGGAGTGGAGTGCGAGGAGTTCAAGCATCTCCAGCAATTGTAGCAGAGATCTTGAAGCATTAGGTGTATATCATTGTTCAATCCAGCAAGGTCAGCCTTTTAAACGTTTTCGAATGTCAAAGGCATTTGATGGTTTGTTTTTTGTTTCGGATATGACTTGATAGTTACCATGGCTGAAAGCTGGGAAGCGTCATTTTTGCATAGGACAAAAGGCAGGGATTACTGCTATACTGTAACATTTCCTTAACTAACACAGGTGATTAGGAATGAGTAGGTTGTGTTTAGACTTTAGCTACTTGTCTGTTGTTGCCTATTAGCTTCATCGTTGTTGTAGTCCCCTCCAAATTTGAGGAGGCAGTTTACTAGTAAATCTTTTGCATCTGTTTCCCTAAATGATTGGTGACTTTGTTGGTTTTAACTCAAGTTCTCTGTTTGGAGAATTCTGTAAAACCCTTTGATTCTTAAAAAATGATTCTTTTACAGGCAAATTGTACTTGTCATTTGTTTAGTAAACCTTCACTTCCAATTTCAGTGAATACTGCTTTGCTGGTTTTGCAAGGCATGAAGAATTGGATGGCTAACAAGGATATTTTTCTCTTTATCTTTATCTAATGCTTGTGTATTTCTTTCATGGCCCAGTTAATCCATTCATCTTAGAAGAATATAGTACCAGCCCCTGAACAATTGACAGGGAGATAAGAACAGTGAATTTTTGTACATCAGATTCAAGCTTATGGCGATTTATTGTGGTTCTAGTGCAGAGAGATGATTGCTTAAGGTTAGGAATGGAAATAAAACGAGTCTGTTCGTGGTTTGTGTTATTCTTTGCTTGTTACGAGAGGCATTTGTATCTCACTTGAACGAGCTCAGGTTTGTGTTATTCTTTGCGTGTTACTAGAGGCATTTGTATCTTGTTTATTCTAGCAATCACTTGAACGAGCTCAGTTTGGGATGTCGTAAGTTCCCTTGTAACACTTGAAACTATTATTTTACGTGATAACTGATAATGAAATAGAATCAGTCCAGAGAACTCGTCTTGTGGCATGTCTTTCCTTATCTAGGATTGTTTGAAGGATTCCACATCTTCCACTTCACAAATGCTTTATCTTTTAATTTGCATTTCAATGATTTCTGTTGTAGAAAAATAGCTACTTTATCACTGAGCCAATGTATACTGCGCAAAGGAAGAACTTCAAATGATAGTGAAGGACTGAAGGTGAACAATATAGAGATTTACCAATTATCAGCTTTCTGTAAATTATACAGATCCATCGTCCTTGAATGTGTAATCTTGGGATTGTTCAGTTTTACCACAGGCAAACAATCCTTTTTCTAAAAACAATAGGTAGTATTCGAATCCATTTTTGCTGACCTCGGCTAATCCATTGAGTACTCTGCTATCTTTTATCAACACAGTATTATATAACTTTGTGGAGTAGTTGATCAACGTTTTGATTAATTTGAGAATTCTAACGGGTAACTTTTTCTAATAGTTGATCAATGTATTGGTTAATTTGGAATTCTAGGAAAGTGAAAGTGATTCAAAGTCATGAATATTACTCCATCCAAAGTTTAAAATATTAATAGCAATTATAATTGTATCCAACATGAAATATAATTCAATTTTGCTTATCGAAGTGTATAAAAGTCAATAACATTTTGCTTCAAGATTTCATGCTTTTATAATATTTATCATTTATAAATAGATAAATATTAGCTCCATACATTATAATTTGCCATTTCTTTTTTCCCCTAATGGTTATAAGTATGGGTGTCAATGGCTCGGTTCGGCCGGTTATTTTACACTAAATATCGGTTCAGTACAGTACAGTTTAGTCAGTTTCTGAATGTCCATTGACACCCCTAGTTATAAGGACTATAATCCCTTTCCCATCGTGACTTTTTTCATGATATAGGAAGAAGAAACAAGCTAATGGCTGAACTCTTGACAATTAAATTACTCATACCAATGTACGATGATTAAGTTATAAATTAGCGTAAATATGTATTAATTGACTATGTAAAATTTAGTAAAAAGAGTGTATATGAAAATATGTGTTATATTTATTGAGTTGGTATAAACACCGCAAGAACAACAATAACAGACTTAGTGAAAGAGGTTTGAGGAAGGTTAAGTCGACGCAGATCTTACCCCTACCTGGAATGTTACTTCCGAGAGACCCTTGGCTCAAGATAAGTGAAAATCAAGCAATAAACAGACAATACCAACAACAAGAAAATTAGACATGGACGCAAGTGGAGCTACGTGCAATAACATAGATGTGATAAATTTTAAATTTATGTTTGCTCCTACTATAGGATTGTTTTATGTCTAGTTTAGCAGGTTTTTAACATAAGCGGATTTAAAATTTAAAATAAACTAATTATTACAAGGACTAAAAGGACCAACGTGTCTCCCAAATCTCCTTTTTACGACTTCGTTTAGCTGAACTCCCCAAAGCCCTAAATCAGAAAAACCTCTAGCCGATAGCAGTCCTAATATTACTTGGCAACTTCATCTTTTAGCTCAAATCTAAGATTATAGCGAGAGTTACAATGGCAGGAGGCCGATTCAGAGAGCTATTGAAGAAATATGGAAAGGTAGCATTGGGCGTACACTTCTCAGTTTCAGCTGCTTCAATTACTGGCCTTTATGTTGCAGTCAAAAACAATGTCGACGTTGAATCTATGCTCGAAAAAGTCGGCATGCCTGGTCTATCCAAAAAAGACGCAGGAGGTGATGAAATTCCTAAAATATCCTCGCAAAACCCTCAAGTGATCTCAGCTGACGGTTTCGTTACTGAAGAACCCTTTCATCAGGACGGCGTGTCGCCGCCGCCGCCGCCGCCTCCAAAGCAGAGGAATCGTACTGCCGAGCTGGCGGCGTCAAGTGGCGGCGCGCTTGCTGTGGCGTTGCTTCTCAATAAGGCTCTGTTCCCTGTTAGGGTTCCGATAACTCTAGGTCTTACGCCGCCGATCGCTAGGTTTCTTGCAAGGCGGAGAATTATCAACAATAGCGTATGATGAATATATTTTTCTTATTATGTAACGAATTTTTGTTTTTTTGAATAATGTTTAATCTCTCTGTTTTACTGTATTTTGATTTCCCTTACACTGTTACATGTTAGTAAAAGGGGTGATCAATTATCTGTTAGAGGGTACTTGGGAGATTTTTAGCTGTCCTAAAAATTTGGTATTGGATTGTTGGAGATGTATTCCCTTAACTATCTAAGGAGAAATACTCATAGATATATGCAATTGACTTTGCTCGAATCTCAATTGAATTAATCATGTTTTCGCTATATTTGCAGTACTGCATAGAAACAGATCTTGCCCTAGCATACAATGATTTTGTGGCAGTCGTATCATGAACATTACTACAGAAATCTGAGTGTGATGTTTTCTATTTGGTTTTAAAGAAAATGCCTCTTACGGAGTTAAGTTCTTGTTGCATCCTATTCCAAATTAGTTACTCATAGTGTCTAGAAATGTCCTTGTTCGAGCTCCTTTTTTCAGTTCAGGTTCTTCCATCTCTGATGTATACAATGATTTAGTGGCAGTCGTATCATGAACATTACTACAGAAATCTGAGTGTGATGTTTTCTATTTGGTTTTAAAGAAAATGCCTCTTACGGAGTTAAGTTCTTGTTGCATCCTATTCCAAATTAGTTACTCATAGTGTCTAGAAATGTCCTTGTTCGAGCTCCTTTTTTCAGTTCAGGTTCTTCCATCTCTAATGTATTATGTATAGAAGGGGACAGTCCTGAGTTATTCTGCAAGATCTGGTTCAATAGATAAGACCTCAAGCTTTGAGATTCTCTAAAGTATACCTTTGTGGAACTAAATCCCTTTATTCGACTTCCAGAATTGCTTCGTTTAGCAACCCCACAAGATTGCATATTTGTCCATCCTCTCAGGTAAGTGTGCTTATTAGGCTAGTCACTGTCTTGTGTTTCATTAATCCTCCGCAGAAGTTAAACGCGTGATTCCTAGCTGTAGTGGGCATCTCCCTACGCTTTGCGACAGAACTTAATCTTGTCCTTCCTTGATGAATCACTTTCAAGCTGTTAGTTCTTGCTCTCCATGTTTTAGAGTAACCTCCAATGACAATGAAACATTTATTTCCCGTGATGGATTGATTCCCTCCTACCCAATCTGCATCGGAGTTTCCTGTCATGTTAGCTGGAAGATAGGAAAAGAAGACCTTTTCAGGTTAACCCTTAAGGTACCTGAGAATTTTGTATGTGCTAAGAAATTAATAACGAGTGATGCTTATTGCCAGTGTAGTGCAGTGATCTGAACTCTGAGCAAGAATGGAGGTCGGGGAACACTGTACAGCTAGGGTGTTTGCAACATTTCACGAAGGTTGTGGAATTACTAGGTCAACAATTGATTAGTGTAACAGAAATCGACCTCTTTATTGCCTCAAATGCTCACAAGCTGTATATGTGTGTATATATGTTTCAGCCTCTTCTTCTGAAGCAGCCAATCAGACTAAAATGAACTGGAAAGAACTGATTGATTCCTGTGGGCATAGTTGGTAAAGCAACAGGGTTGTTGATAAATGGCTGCTTATACTTTTGACTTCTCTAGACCTGTGGCTGTGGTTAGAATTAAGTTCAAGTTTGCTGGATTTATCTATTGATAAATATAATCTTGAAGGCACTGGACTGTTTCATTTGGTTCTTTAGGGTTTCTTTATGGCCTTAGTTCACATGTAAAGTTAGCTTGACATCAAATAATTGCATATCGTTCTAAGAATTTTTTTTCAGAAGCACTAAACTAAGTCGGGGTTATTTTTTTTGATCGATTAAACTAAGTCGTTTTTATGAAGCTCATTTTCTTTGGTTTTAATTACTAATTACTGCTACGATGGCAGTTCCTATAAACCATTTTCTTCACCATGGACAAGAATTGCTGAGTACATTGTTTTTGAACTTTGAAATTATGAATTTGTCGCGTTCACTCTCCTAGATTATATATTTGACATTTTTAATAGAAGTAATTTCAAGTAAAAGGCATTTCAGAGCCAATCTACAGATTCTTGTCTATACAGCTGACTATAATAACTGTGAAATACTCAAACGAGACGTCTTTTGATTCGTTTGTCCTATTTGATATAATGTAGAACAGTTCGTTTAACCTGTAATCATAAAAAGTTATGTTTTAAATAAAATTAGATAAAGTTTTCAATTATTGTGTAAAACTATATGTACGTGTTTAAAAATTAAATTGAAAACTAGTTTCTGAACACATGAATCTCATGCTAATTAGTAAAGAATGAAAAAATAGTAAGTATAATAATATTAAAATATGTATGCAATGAGTTATACCAAAATTGAAGGAAAAATGTAAGCTCAAACTAATAAATACCTATCCTATGTGATCGGTGTCTATTATAATTGCAAAGCACAAATCTAGAAATTATTTTCATGTAAATGTGAAAGAATATCTTTCATTCTCATGTTTGTGAAAGTTAAATTCTATGGAGAAATCTTTTTTTATTAGTATATATTTTCTAATTCGATTAGATGGAGCACTATTTATATTTATATAACTTATATTTTAAAATACACATACAGTAATATAAGCAAGATCTCTTTTTCTTCACAAAAAAAATAAGTTGAACAACTTATGAATTTAGTGTTAGATATTTTTTAGAAATTGCAGTTATTTTATGTTATGACCTAGGGACGTGGTTAAGTCTTGAAAAGCAATCTTCAAACATTAAAAAGTTTCAATAAACTTGTCCCAACAAAGCAACAGAAATTCCCTCTACCTCCCGCCTAAAAGAGTAAACTAAAATGGGGATACATAAAAAGAAAAAATGTCTTATGATGGGAAGTTTAATTTACTTATGCAGTGTATTAATCCTATCAACCTCTCATCCTAACCGGTTAGTAAGTGATGACAAGTATTGAGCGCAGACATATACTGATATCATAACATAACAATCTTACTCCATATTTTGAGCATCGAGGAGTTGTGCGACTTATGTCCAAACTAATAGTTCATGATCCATCAGTTAAA